CTCTCTCTCTCTCTCTCTCTCTCTCTCTCTCTCTCTCTCTCTCTCTCTCTCTCTCTCTCTCTCTCTCTGATATTTGTATAAAAAATAATTTTCCAAAATATATTTTATATATACGTTGCGTAACTATTATATTCAAATATATTGAGCAAATTTAGTTTATAATAGCTTATAGCAGATATTTGCTTTGTGACAATTTTCTTCTATTGCTTAACGTTCTCTCTACATAACAGAATTCTTGCGGTTAAGACTAATAGTCGGAGTTGTAATGCCGGAATATCATGCGGAATTACTTCCAAGTCTGAAAATTTTGTTGTTGTTTATATTATATTGTGGCGATCTTAAAATCTTGTAAATTTTGATTACATTTTCACGATAAATACCGAGATGTTTGATTATTATTACGATTTGGCTGATTTCAAAGGAAACGTGCATAGAAAATGACAGCTCTACTTCCGTGTAATTAACAGTTCAAAATACAGTTTCAAGTACAGCAAAGTGCCTGACACAAAATGCGTGTTTGCAATTGCGGCATTAATTTCTTGAAACAAAACACAGAGAGCATTTCATTATGTTAGTCTTATCATGTTGATTGAATTTCAAGAATTGATTTGATAATTTTAATAAAACAAACAAAACACCTCATTTGCATCGAACACACAAACATTTGATTAATTAATTATATATTTCAATCATGTTAAAAAACTTATAATTTACTTTACTCTTGTGTGTGCGTCTGCAATGACGTAAACATTTTATTTCTATATATTAAACGATATTACTACTAAAGTATATATTATTACTAAGGCTATATATTTATCAGGCTATATATTATTGCTAAAGTTAATATTATTGCTTTATATTTATCAATAATTAATACGTAATATGATGAAAATGATCTCTTCGAAAATCGAATATATGATTATATATAGAGAAGCTCATACATACCTCGCGCATTATTTGCATGTCGTTTTAACGAGTGATTGTATACCGTGGAAACAGTACACGCAATTAAAACGTTATATATTTAATGGCCAGCTAATCTATTTAGTGAGAAGAGATATACGCTCCGCTTAGGGCACAGTATTATGGAGAGTAGCTGATTTTACTGTCGGCGTATTTAATTAAAGAAAAAAAGTCCTTCATAAAGTCTTAACAGGTCTGTTACTGGTGTCACAAAATAATTAACTTAAATCCAAGAATATTATCTCTACGGGATTCAATAAAACTATGATAATAATTAATTGACAGTTTAAACATCAGTGGTAAAAGGAAGTTTATAAACTTTGATAAAGTGCGATTGTATGTATGTGTATTGAAATCGATTAACGTACTTATCAGCTTACTTTAATAAGAAGTAAAACTTTCTTCTCTTAGAAGAAAACTAGTCATTATCTTTCCTTTACTGCACACGTTTTATCAGTGCGTAACTAGTTATATAATTATCCGTTTTTGTTATACGTAATAACGTATAAAAGCATATTGGACGCATTCAACCGATAATATGGACTGATTTTCTCGAAACATATACTTTCTCATGAAAGTGGAACGGTAAATGTGATAAATTAACAATAATTCGTGAAATGAAAGACTGCAAATTATTCTCGAAACTATTAATTTAT